ACAACCGGCTTTATCCCGCAGCCGAATCGCTCGCTCACAGCTTTCATGCCGGTAGCTCATTTTTGCTCACGAGACTCCCCCACTTGGGGGAGGGGGCCTGGTCTGGAGATGAGCTGTGATTCCGGCGGATGCCCGTCTACCAATGCCCGCAAGCGCCGCAGTCAAGAGGCAGGAAGGCCCTCGGGCGGCTTTGTCCGGGCCGCCATCCCCGGGTGTTTCGCTGGCGGCTACGGAGGGCGAGGGGGGCCGGCGGGGAAAGGTCAGCAGGGCCGAGAGCGGGGCCGGGGCCCCCCGCCCCCCCCATCTTCCCGCCCCGCCGCCATCATGGCGCCGCCGCCCCCCCTCCTTTCCCTTCCCCCGTCACTGACTCTGCGGAGGCGCTCTAGGAGGACGCTCTTGTTGCCGCCGGTGTCCAGGTTGCGGCGCTTCAGCTCGGCCCTCAGGTCGATCACCCGCAGGTCGCTCAGGCGCCGGCCCACCGGGGCGGCGCTCGAAGGGGGAGGGAGGACCTGCGGCGACGCGTCTTCAGCGCCCGACCCGGGGCACTCGGACTCGGGTGCCGCCATCGCGACTGGCGGCTCGGATCTTTCTTGCCCCCGTTCGCAGCAAGGGCGGCGGCCGAGGAAGAGCCCACTGTCCCGTCTCGCCCACCGCTCCCTCAGACAAAATGGCGGGAAGGCACCGGCCGTCGAGAGACACAGGCGGAGAAGCCCTGCGCACGCGCGAAGGCACGGGGCCGTGCGCGCCTGCGCGGAGGGGCGGGGCTCTCCTTTCCTAGCCTGGAAGATCGCCTGAGCCAGGGGGCACCTTTAAGACCAAGGAAGTTAAATCCTGGGTGTAAGTCCCACTGCTGGACCTCCTGATGGCACCTGGTATTTTTGGCCACTGTGTGACAGAGTGTTGGACTAGATGGGCCATTGGCCTGATCCAACATTGGCTTCTCTTATGTTCTTATAAGTTTTCGTGTACAAGCACAGTTCTTCAGGTATCTTGAAACAGACTTCCTCAAGCCTTACATATTGCGGGGGGGTTAGAAACAGACTTCCTCAAGCCTTACATATAGGTATAGGGTTTCTAACCCTCCACCCTCTTTCTACCCCTACGTAAGGCTTGAGGAAGTCTGTTTCAATGTATCTGAAGAACTTAGCATGCATACGAAAATGTACACCCAAACTTTGAACTGTTGCGTCAGGGCAACACAGCTACCCACCAGATTAGTAGGGAAATATGTCATCCTTTTGCTTTTCAAAATATTATAACCCTAACATAAGATTATTGCAAGGTGCCCTGAACCATGACGAAGGCTAGTACGGAAATGTTTTAATAAATTATCATGAGGGACCTTTTAAAAAAAAGGAACCGAACTGTAGTCTATTCCAATGCTCATCATATGTATTATCCTGCTCTTTCTGCATTGTTTTCTACTTTTGTAATTCCACTTTCTCTGTTTATGGTATATTGAGTCTGACACCTTTCTTAATTTTTGAGATCCTAGTCATGTGTCATTGTTTATTGGATCTTTGTGCTGTCTGAGTACAGTATTCTGTATGTTGTGATCTGCCTTGAGTCTCAGCAAAAAGGCATATACATTTATTTACAGATTTCTATAAATTTAATTGTTGTGTTTTAATTATGCATGTTTTATTCTGTATTTATGTTACCCGGAAGCCACCCTGAGCCTGCTTTGTGGGGAGGGTGGGGTACAAATTTGATAATAAATAAATAAATATGCTTTTTATGATTGAGACTCAAAACGACTACATAGAAGGCATTAAATAAAATTTAAGTACAGAAGGCATTAAAATAAATTTATTTTGATTTTAAGACTACAAAATTAGAAAACAAAATTAAATACTAGTATTATATGACAGTGCAATAAAACTGGATTTCAGAATTAGAGAACATGGAAATAAAAAGTATATATCCAGTAAATACAAAATGGAAATCTAATTTCCACACATTAAAAATAGAATCCTATTGCTTTTATAAAAAGCCCTCTTCAGCAATTCTGGTTCACTGAAATCTTATTTTATTTGATACGTATAAAATCTTTAATTGCAAAATGTTAACAAGTATACCCAATTCCCTTTATAAAAATGCCCTCTTGAACTCCTTCGTTCTCCACATTTAGAGGAGGTCCAATTTTTTTTTTTTAAATACCTAGCCTGAAAAGAATTCTGCATGGTCTTAGTTAAATGTGGGCATTCTGGCAACGATATAACGGTAAGAAACAGGAGTCTAGTAATGCTTAAAGGCCCAATAAAGCTTATTTCAGAAGCTTTCGTGGATCGCAGCCACTTGTCTTCAGATGGAAGTCCTCTCATTGCAGAGGGATAGAGCGGCTCCATCTTTTGTGTTTTTGGTCAGTCACACAATCGAGTTTGCCTCTTTGCCATCCCATGGGCCTGTATCACACCAGGCCCTCCTCTCTTCTACAGTTTCTCCATTAGGCGTTTACACGGCAACTGGAAGTGTTACTTCATGTACTCTTCCTCAATGGCCTCCATTTTTGTTGTTGTTCAGTCGCACAGTCAAGTGCGACTCTTTGCGACCCCATGGACCAGATCACGCCAGGCCTTCCTGTCTTCCACCATCCTCTGAAATTGGCTGAATTTCATGGTTGCATGGACCAGATCACACCAGGCCTTCCTGTCTTCCGCCATCCTCTGAAGTTGGCTGAATTTCATGGTTGCATCTATGACACTGTCTAACCATCTTATCCTTTGCCGTCCCTGTCTTCTTTGACCTTCAATCTTTCCCAGCATCAGGGTCTTCTCCAGGGAGTGCCCCTTCTCATTTGGTGGCCAAAGTATTTGAGCTTCAGTTTCACTATCTGGCCTTCCAGAGAACAGTCAGGGTTGATTTCTTTTAGGATTGACTTTTAGGATTGGCCTCCATGGGAATGACCAAAAAATGCAGCGCACGCGCACTACCTTTCTGTGTGTAGGGCTAGGGAAACGAAAGGAGTTGTGTGAAATAAGTAGAAAGACTTGCTTGAACGAATGCATGTTCTCGCAGTTTCCTAATAAGGCCCTTTATCTTTATTAACTTTCAAAAAAGGGCATTTATTGCTTAGGGATAAATAATTCCCAACGCTTGAATATCCGTTCTGTTCTTTGGACGCATCCGGGCTCTTACGTAAGACGGACCCTCTCTCCAGACGCATGCGCCGCTCTCCCCTATTAGCGTATGACCACATCGCTTGCCAGCGGCGTTTTCTAGGCGCCTAACTCGCGGCTGAGTCTGCGCGTGCGCAAGAGCATTTCCGACGCGCTGGTCAATTTCTCGCATGCGCACAGAAACACTGGCCGCCATTTTGCGCGCCGCTTCAATCAGTCTTTCTGGTTAAAAAAAAGAAAAGAAAAAGTAAGCCAAAAACGAGACTCGTCAATGGCGTCGGAGAACGAGGTCGGACTCGTCGCAGAGGCGACAATACCCCTCAGCGGCGATGGCGCTGCAGAAAGCCCCGGGGGTGGCGCCGCTGTGGGGACGACGACGGTGCGGCGCCTCAGCGACCTGCGAGTGATCGATCTGAGAGCCGAACTGAAGCACCGGGGCCTGGACACCGGTGGGAATAAGAGCGTCCTTCTCGAGCGGCTTCGGAAGGTAAAAGCTTCACTGAGGGGAGAAGGGAGCAAAAATCCCCTAGAATAAGGGGAGGAGGGTTAAACCGGCTCTGCGCATGTGCGTTGTGCGAGGCCCGCTACCCTGCGGTAAGTAAATGGCGCCTCAGGGTTCCATTGAGCACGTGACTCCTGGACGGTCTCGCGGGTCACGTGGCCGTGGCCACGTGGTTTGCGGTAGTTTTTTGGGGGTGCGTGGCCTCTGGCACTGCGCCGTTAATTAATTGCACGTTTATGTAATAATATATATATAAGAGAGATTAGGGTTACCCGATGTCCTCTTTTTTACAGTGCTTGTGTTCTTTTTTGTGTGTGGTCCTATTTTGGGCTCTTTTTAAAAAACGGATGAAAATGGCCTCTTTTTGGGTTGGAAGGTTAGGAATGTTCCTAGTGAGTAGCCATGATCACAGCTTAAAGAGGAGGGGTATATAGAAGGAGACAGGTAATCGTGATCGCTTGTTTGAAGTGGTGGGACACATGGCCTCTTTTTTGCGGTTCAAAATATGGTAACCCTATGAGAGATGTCTTTTTGCATTGTAGTTATAACTAACTGCAGCCACCACCACACCCTAAATTAAGTTAAATTGCATAGCATACTAAAAAGAATAGGAACTAGAAAGGGGGGGGGGGAGACCAAAGGCTGGATAATGACCAATGACTGGATAACAGATTAATTTGTTGTCGTTGTTCAGTCGCACTGTTGAGTCTGACTCTTCAGGACCCCATGGACCAGATCATGCCAGGCCTTCCTGTCTTCCGCTGTCCTCTGAATTAATTATGCTCCTCGGTTTCCAAAGAGGAGGGAAAATCATTCCAGCCAGGGCTATTTTTGGGCAGGAACGCACAGGAACGGAGTTCCGGCTGGCTTCAGAGTTGGCCACACCCACTACAGCCAAAACCTCTGTGTGGGAGGCTACAGAGGGAAGGCCTGGAGGGTGACACCCCCCCCCCCGCGACTCCGAGGCCAGCAGGCCAGGGGGTCCCTGGAAGGATTAAATGCCTCTCCGTGCCTTCCCTGGCCGCGGGGTGCCCAGACAAGCCAAGGGAAGGCATGGGTGGTGTCGCCTAATATGCTAATGTGTTTCTGCTGTTGGGTGTGACCTATTATGCTAATGAGAGGTTGGTGCAAAGTCACCAATTGAATTTGATGGCAAAGTGGGGATTTGAACTCGCGTCTCCCATATCGTACTCTACTCTTCACAACGAATTGGCTATTCACTGCATTGATAGCAGCTATTAGTTATGGTGGCTACATGGATCCTCTGTGTTCAGTGGCAGTCTACTTTTTGGATTGGGGGGGGTGGCACAAGCAACCAGCCCAAGCTATGGCTTTTGTGTTCTGCTCACGCTTGTAGCCAGGAATTTCTAAGTCAGGGGGCATTTTAATTCTTGGGGGGGGGGCACTGGCTAAATCAGTTAAAGGTAACTCACATGCTTCAGCTGACCCCAGAGAGAGGTGTGGTGCAGGGAGAGGGCAAGGAGAAGTGGCAGCGCAGGGGGAGTCCGTGGCAGCCATCGCATCCTGCCAGAGAGTTGGGGTGGGGCCTGGGCTGAAAGGAAGTTGGGGGGCATTGGCAGGAAGCCCTGGGGCCAGGCCCCAAAATGCCCTACTGTACCTGTGGGCCTGGTTCTGCTTTTGAGCTTCCTGGGAGCATCTTGCTGGTCACTGCTCAATTCAGGCTCTTTAGATAGAGACACTGTTCATATAATCCTGCAAGAGTGATTTTGTGTTAGATGCCCCTTAGATTATAGCTCTTTAGTAATATACTCTCTGCACTGTCCTTCCTCATACGCTTACTGCTCCTTATTGGGCATGGGGAGAAATGCCTCAAACCCTGTGTGGTCAGAGTCCCTCTAAATGAAGTTGTAGGCTTCACTTTCCGGGGGATGGGGCTTTATTGCTTTGCACAGCACTGTCTCTTTCCTCACTGGCCAGTTGTGTGGTCAGACCCACTGTAACTTGACATATCCATTGAGGCATCCGGGAAGCTGTCCTTCTGGGAGTCTTTCTCTGGCTTGCTCTTTCTCACTGAGCTCTTCCTCCTCCTCCTCCTCCTCCTCCTCCTCCTCCTCCTCCTCCTCCTCCTCCTCCTCCTCCTCCTCCTCCTCCTCCTCCTCCTCCTCCTCCTCCTCCTCCTCCTCCTCCTCCTCCTCCTCCTCCTCCTCCTCCTCCTCCTCCTCCTCCTCCTCCTCCTCCTCCTCCTCCTCCTCCTCCTCCTCCTTCTTCATCATCTTCTTCATCATCATCATCATCTCTCTCTCTGTCTCCTTAATTCTTCACTTCTGTTTCTTTCTGCCTTTCTCCTCTTGCTGTTTGTTCTTATTTCCCTAATAGCCACAGCCCCATCTCCTAGGTCAGACCTGACCCTCTGAGGGAGGCATGACTGGTTCCACACTGTGATGCCACATCACCCCCATGTGCCTTCTCCCCTTTGGGCTTTGCTTTTGAGAGGTTAAACAAAGTTTGAGTCCAGTGGCACCTTTAAGTCCAACTAAGTTTAATTGTGGGTATACATTCGTGTGCATGGACTCAAACTTTGTTCTGTGCTTCTGATCAACATGGCTGCCCACCTGAATCTGTTTTTTTTAGAGGCTGTGGGCTTTGCCCCTAGGCTGATATATGAGCCACCTAGCTGCCTGTCCCTTTGCACCCTGTCTGTTTTGTTTGCCGTCCTGTCTAGGTAGGTCTAAGGCCTATAATGCAGTCAGGAAATAAAAAGAATCTACTTTCAGGATTGCCTGTTGAGGACATGGATTTTGTAGGACAAGGGACTAGTGAATGTGATTTATGAATGTGATTTCTTTCATATATCTATACTCTCCCTGGACTCCAACTGTGTGTTCTTTATTCGGCCCCAGGAGCCCACGGGGCATAGATTTGTGCATCTATTTCAGATCCACGTTGGTGCCTCTTTGTATGTACTGTTCGACAACATCTCATAAATATTGTAGCTTTGTGACATACACATATTACAATCTTATTAAGATCTCAGTTCTAACTATACAATTAACCAAACTTACCGTAAATGCAAAAATATAGCTCAAAAATAAATCATTTTTTTAATACAGTGGGTTATTTGGAATAATTTCTTTTTCAAGCATAAAACTTATAACAGGGTACCATACTGTGACCATGTTTTAATTGCAATTTTCTGGTGATGAATTTCGATATTTTTTTTTTGCATTATAAAACATTCCCATATATGATTATACCATTGTGTAAGTGTTGGGGGTTTCTTGTCTAACCATCTAAGAGCAACAAGAATATGTGCTGTTGCTATATGAATGTAATATCTGATATTTCTCTTGACATGTAGAATGCCAGCTGCCACTGTGCCTTATTAGCATTTAGCCTAGTAAGAGGAGATTTAGAATAGAATCAATTACAGTATTATATTTATTGGTTAGAGGTGGGAAAGACTGGCTTTTTGTTTTTTACTGTTCTGGAAAAATGTAGAAAATTTGAGACTAGAATATATGTAATATTTACTTTACTGTAGGAGCCCAGGCTAACCCAATCTCAGGCAAGATCGACAGTGGTTAGTAGTTGGATGGGATACCACCAAAAAATACCAGGGTTTCTATTCAGAGGCAGGCAATTTATTGGTTAGAGGTCCTTTTTTAGATTCACAAAATATTAGAATGGAATGTACACTTTGAAATTATAAGCTTCCCAGCTGAAGGACATCCTACAGCAAAGTTATGAGATGGAAAGACCCTGAATGTTCCCAAAACAATATCTTTCTTTACAGAGCAGAGAATCTGGCACCGGGAAGTCTGCCAAGAGCTAAGTTGTATGCTTCTTATCAGGGAAGTCCCAATTTTTAGGTTGAAGCAAATAGGTCAGGAATGATGCCAAAAGAAGGCCTCTTTGTTCGTTGATGTTCTCCACTGTTCCGGGACCAGATAAGCAGACGTAATTACTGACACTTATGATCAACGAAGGAATATGCCAGTAGAAAGGTGCCGGGTCAAATGATGCTCTGATGATGATACCTATTGGACACCAATTAGGGATTTCTTTCTGTGTAAACTGTCATGATGTCATTTGGGGTATAAGATCTACTGCCCTTCCTGGCTGGGGCAGAATACAGCTTGGTGTTACTGGGTGCCAAGGGCTCCAGTCCTGTATTTTCCTAATTATTGCAATAATCATATATTTATACTCTCCCTGGACTCCAACTGTGTATTCTTTATTCGGCCCCGGGAGCCCACGGGGCATAGATTTGTGCATCAATTTCAGATCTACGTTGGTGCCTCTTTGTATGTACTGTTCGGAGAAGTAAGGTAGATTGTAGCCTGCCTTCTGAGTAATAAATAGCCCTTAATGTTGCTCTCAGTAAATCTGAGAGTGAGTAAAACTGTGGAATACTGTGGAGTGTGCTTATGTGTCATTGCATGTGGCAAGCTTTGTGATAATTGGATAAAATTGGCCGCCTAAAGTCCTGTCATGTCACTTAATGATACATCTTTGAAATCCTACCAGTTCAAGTCTGTTTTCTAATCAGTTTCTAATCAGAATCATTAACGTGATTTAAAGCTTTAAAACGTAATCTTTCTGGCCTTTTACAGAACCGATGGTTTGCACAGATTTTTCTGCTCTTGATAGAGAAGATAGCTTTTTTTTCTCGATTTGGTACATGGTTCCAAGCACAGATCAGGCTCTCCTGCCCACCCGTGCCTTCAGATCTCCAGAAACCACGTGGTGCATCAGCTATTTGTCCACACAGGCGGCAAGCCTTGGAGGTGGTTTGTGAAAGGGGTGGAGTGGCCTACCTTGGAACAATAAGAGACAGTGTGTTTCACAAACTTGCTCTCGGTGTTGTTTGGGGTTTACTTTTTCTTTAGGCTCTTCTGCACGAAACACAGTGGGCCTCTATCAATAAGCAGTTGATTTTGGTCTGTCTTGTAGGCAATTGAGGAAGAAGGAGGAGATCCTGATGAAATTCCAGTGGTGTCTGAAACAACCCTTAAGAAGACTCCCAAAAGAAATAGCAAAGGTATGCAAGGGAATGCAGAGAACTCCACCTCTGTCCACATGCTGCTGTATTTTGCTTGTTTTGTTCAGTAGTGAACAGTTGAACTGAGCTGTGCCAGCTAGACTGTGTACTCACCCCAGAAGTGGAAGCAGTGAACGCTTTCTGAAGGCCTCCGTAGGTAGGCTGATTTGTCTGTAAAGCCACAACTGCACTGTGTGCGTTTTAACCCAGAACTGCTTCTCAGTCTCTCTGTCCACTTTGCCATGTCAGTGACAGTCCCTCAGACTCAATTTTCACAAGCAGCAGGTGAGATTGTCCAGGCTGTGGCACTTGAGGTTACAGACTGCGCCAGCTAATCAATTGGAGATGTAGGCATAACACTAGATGCTGGTGAGGCTAGCCTTTTCTTTGACACGCAAGTTGAATATGGCTGGGGAAATAGGAGGAGCGGCTTTTTCACATGGCTGCATCAGACAGAGATGAGACAGTGAGCTTGCCTCTCTTGGCCAGTTTGGGGCGAACTCTGACCCCACGCCCCGAATCTGCTGCTGCAGCCATTTTGTCTGGTCATTACGGAACAGTTCTGCACGTTATTTAAGTATCTGAATTTACTTTCCCACCCTTTCTTCCTGGCCCGTTCTCCTGTGTTCTGTGCCATGTTAAATATAGATCAGCATCATTATAAAAGTATATTAAAACAATGCTTTATGCGGCGAGAACTGCAATAGCATCAAAATGGAAGAATCCAAACTCAACCACTATCCAGGAATGGTTCCAAAAACTTTGGGACCAATACATAATGGAAAGTATTACTGGAAAATGTAATGCTGCAAAAACCAACCAGCCCGATTTGAGGTTTAGTGCAAAGTGGTTTCCTATTCTTACCTTCTTAGAAGCAGAACAATACATACCACCCTCTTGGAAGAAATATATTGATTGGCTCTGAAGGAAATTGAAAGGTAGAATTTTTCTTAACAGGGACATGAGGATATATCCTATTACAGATAAGTTTAAACTATAATAGGTCAATAATCTACATAATGAAAAGTAGTGTTAAAAGGTCTGCCAAAGCTTAATATTTACCTGATTTATTGCTAAAAAAATTTCTCCTCTGAAATATAATTATATCCAGTACAATATTGAGATTAGTTAAATGTTGAATATATATTTGTTCTTGATGATTGATGTATAGATTATGTTGTTATTAGTACTAGCTAATTTTTGTTAAAATTGAAGTGGTTTTATCTTACTTTAACAGTTGTATGCATTTTTAATACTTCAATAAAAAAGTGTTTAAAAAAAAAGAAAAGAAGTAAACTGCCTTGAATGCAGTTACCTTGGCCTGGGTGGCTAGGCTAGTCCGATCTTGGAAGCTAAGCAGGGTTGGCCCTGGTTAGCACTTGCGTAGGAGACCACCAAGGCAGTCCAGGGTCATGACACAGAGGCAGGCCACCTGGACATCTCTTGCCTTGTAAACCCCATGAGGCATCTCTATAAGTCGGTGGTGACAACACTTTCCACCACCATACCTTGAATACAGTACCTGACTGTTCCCTGGAAGGCCAGATCCTGAAGTTGAAGCTCAAATACTGTGGCCACTCACTGGAGAAGAAGACCCTGATGCTGGGAAAGACTGAAGGTCAAAGAAGACGGGGACGGCAAAGGATGAGATGGTTAGACAGTGTCATCGATGCAACGAACATGAAATTGAGCAAGCTTCAGAGGACAGCGGAAGACAGGAGGGCCTGGTGTGATCTGGTCCATGGGGTCATGAAGAGTTAGACTCGACTGTGCGACAACAACACCTTGAATCCAATGACAGAAAGGAGAATACTGGTCTATGACCGTAATAAACTTGAAAACTAATGACAGAAAGGAGGAACGTAAATGTATTGAATGAAGAAGGTGGTCAGCAGAGTGTTTTTTAAAACATTTCCACGTCTTCTGTTTGTTCCCTTTCTGACCTCTTTGGGAACGGGATGCCCCCAAATATTAGGAATTATGCGAGATCCGACTTAACCGTTGTATATTATGTCGCTGTAACTATTTGTGTTTACGATATTTAGCCTGCCTTTCTCACTGAACTCAGCTGAACTCTCATACTGTCCGTGTTTTCAATGTGCATAGGCCATGAAGAGTAGTTTTATGCACGCGTGCCCTGCTTTGAATTCTAACGACAGCGATCTCTTTTAGGACGTAGGCCGGAGGAAGAAGGTGTCGAAGACAATGGTCTCGAAGAAGATTTTGGAGATGGACAGGTACAGCTGGCCCAGTACTGAAGCTGCAAAGTAACAGTTCTGCGTCCTGCGTCCTGACTACTGTCACACATGCTCTTTTTTTCCTTTTTGCAGGAGGATATTGAAGCAAGTTCGGATAACTTGCAGGATGTTGACATGATGGAAATTAGTGTGTTAGATGAAGCTGAAATAGATAACAGCAGTGCAGTAGAGTGCCGAGCAGCTGGCAGTGCCGATAGTGGGCTCGACTCTCTCTCTGACAGTAAAGGAAATGCTGGGGCAGGAAGGAAAGAACATCCACAGCAGCTTGCAGGATGCCCTGCAGGTGACATGGAGGCACCTCCACAGTCGCCGGGCATTAAAGAAGACCCGAGAGAAATACCAGTAGCTGTGGTATGCATCTCTACTCCAATGTGCAGAATCAGATCAATCATCGCAGTAACCTCTTTAATTTTTCTCAAAATAGACTATAAAAAGGGGGGGGATGTCTAAAAATAAACACAGAGTCCCCCCCCTTTTGAAAAAATGACCATAATCATACCATTTTTGACTAAAACCTGAAAAAGTTAAATGCATGAATCATAAACATTGTCTGTAGTAGCAATAATTCAGAAATCTGGTTTTTTTAAATAGTTGAATGCTCTTTTTTTTTTTTTTACCACATGCATTTCTGCTCATTCACCTTTTTGTGTGTGTTCATGTTCAAGGGGACTGCAGTTACATTTTTTACTTGGTCGAGCCCCAGGGTGTTTTGTTTCCAGGCAAACGATAGCCTTGTTCCCTGTCTGACTTCCTTGGGTTCAGGATGCCCCCAAATATGAGGAGAGAGTTGACTTAACCGTTGTATATTATGCAGGGGTAATCGCTTGCGTTTATGATCTTTAGTTTGCATTTCTCACTGAGACTCAAGATGGTTTACAGGGGCGTAAGTCAGTGTGATCAATAGTTAGTGGATTTCAAAACCCGATTTCCCAGCGAAACATTTAGGGGTGGTCCCATTCTGTCCCCACTCCCGCCTCAGTATTTTAATTCCAGTTTGTGAATCGTTTCAACCTGCCTGAGATCTCGGGAGGGAAGGCAAGTGCAATGAATGCAAAGTTATTGCTTTTAGAACTGTGTTTTGAAAACCACATTAACAAATTTGAGTGTGCCCTAAAAATATCACTTCTTGGAAATTTTTCATCCTAAACCTGCAGCCCAGCCTGAGCAGGCATGTGCTGTTTGTGAAGTTGCTTGTTACACAAGTTGACTAGGCTGGCTGTTGTGGCAAGATACGTTCATCGTGCCAGGCTGTCATTTGCACCTTTGGTTTTTACGCTGTGCCGTGGGGAACTCTAAAGTTCCTTGGAAGCTTATTGGAGGCTTTTTGATGAGAAGTGTGCTTTCTCGTGCATACCCCAGACTGCTCTGCGGTGTGCTAAGCTCTGAAGGGATAAGCTCCTTCTTCTCTGAGCAGGAGTCTTGTGGCAGGCAGGCCCTTTCATCCACCAGTGGAGGCAGGACTTGTAAACGCTTGAGACTTCACCCCTGGAGGGGGGTCACTCTCCATTTTGGAAGTTCTGCAGCTGTGGGAAAAACAGCCAGGCTAAAAAGAATGCAAAGCTGTGGTGTGGGATTGGACTGATTATGGGAAATACCCAGCGCTATCCTAGATCTGGATGCCCTGTTACACTTGAGAAGAACCAGCCTGTGTGGCATAAGCCTCATGTTTTGGTTCATCCAGCCACACATGTCCCATGATAACAGTGTTCTGGTCCACTCAAATGGGGGCATGTCCCATGATGGGGCACTCAATAACAGTGTTCTGGTCCACTCAAATGGGGCTTGCACTGCGTCCATTGCACCAATTATTGCAGCCCCCTCCTGCCAAAAGTAAGCCATTAAAGCCCCTGCCTGTGCTGGTGGATGAGGGCTGACTGCTCACCCCTGGGTTATTGCCTGTCTGATGGGGTCCACGGAGTGGGGAAGTTCTGATAACCTGGAGAGCAGAATGACCCCTGAAGGAGGGCTGGTGTCCGTCTTGACTCTGTTCTTATTTCACCCCAGTTGTGAATTTCCTGAGCAGCCTGTATCAAGCTTTGCTTTTATCCCCACCCCCTACCCTACCCCAATGCAGTAAGTGTGAAGAGTCGCCTGTATCAAGCTTTGCTTTTATCCCTACCCCAATGCAGTAAGTGTGAAGAGTAGTGGGCTGTCTCACAGGGTACTTGAGGATGGGGTGGTGGTGGGACTCTAAAACATACTACACTTGTATGGATTGGATAACATACCGCTTGATAGATTCCGGTGGGTAGCCATGTTGATCTGAAGCAGTAGAACAAAGTTTGAGTCCAGTGGCACCTTTAAGACCAACAGAGTTAAATTCTGGGTATAAGCTTTCCTGTGCATGCACACTTCTTCAGACCACGAAAGGTTATACCCAGAATGCCACTTGAGTAACAGTACAGTAATGGTACTGTTGTGGCAGTTAATGAGTCCAGTTCTACGGTTCCAATCAATAAATCACAGATTTGTGATCAGCCACAAAGAGCTAGAATTTTGCTTTCCCGCTGTGGTTTGTGTTAACTGTGTTATGTGAACCGACATCCGCTGTTATACTTCCAAAGCAGTCCCTGCATGGGTGTTGTGAGCAACAGAAAATGTATACCGGCGAGGAACTGTGAGTTGTGACTTGTACATTTGGAAGCCTAATCTTCTGCTTAGTGCAAAACACGGTTCGGTGTTAGTTCCAGAGGGGTGTGGTGGTTTGGTGTGATAAGTGAATTGAGCTAGTGAGGGCAGAACTCCGTGCCTGCCAGTGGGGAGAGGGAGCAGATGGTGAAGAATTGACTGTCCAGAGCTGCAGCCCTATGCATGCTTACCTGTGAGTAGGATTTGTTTCTGAGTAAATAGACAAAGGATTGCACCTTATAGCAGTCTGGAGAGAATGTGTCCTGTTTAAAATTCGTTATGGGCATGGTCTATTGAGACTCTGCTCTCTTGAGTTAGCAGTGCACTGGGGGCAAGCGAAACAGCGTCTCCTTCCCCAAATGTGTCAAGAGGATTCTTCTTCTTTGTGCAGATGTGCTAGGGACTTAGAGAAATGCCATCGAAGTTCCTTGCCACTTTTCTTCATCTCCCCTGCCACCCTTCACTTCATTTCTTGCTTTTCAAAAAACAAATTCTGTCTGTTAAGCACGCTGCTTGTTTAATTCAAGCTTCTTTCAGAATAAGGGGTCATCATAAGGCCCAGGGGATCTTATCCCTCATTCTGGCCTGTCTTTCCTTGACAGTCGTCTGTTACAGCTGCTCGTGTACTTCTTTTAGGTCGAAGGTGAAGATGCTGGAAGCGCCATGGAGCTGGGAACTTCTGATTGCACCAGTGCAAAGGTAAAACGGTTTAAAAATTCCTGACTGATCTTACAGTAATTCTGAAAAGTTGCCGAAACAACTGTTGGAAAGTTTATGATGCAAGAAGACCCTGACTTGCAACCTGCTCGATAGGTGGGTAGTGCGTCATTCAGAGCAGCGGCAGCGTTGGCCAGATGACTCCTGCCCATGCGGTAGCCAAGAGTGGACTCGGCAGGAGACGTGAGCCGGGGCCTGATGTGGTGGATAGCTGGCTTCCACTCCTGGCAGTGGCGGGCCTGTAGGATCTCTGCATGTATTTGGAGCGACACACAGCTGGCTGGTAGTAACTCCCATGCGAGAAAGGGAAGACGGATAGAAACTGGCTAGTGATGAAACAATTGGCCAGTCGCTCGAAGAAGCACGAGTTGTGCCCAGTTGGTCAGTTATCCGTGTCAGCGTGTTTGACTCTGAAAGTGGGCAGCGCTTAAAGGCTGCAGTCTGAATTGGGATAGTCCCCATCCATGTTCCCTGAGGCCAGAGGAACAGATCGGCCAGGTTTTGACTACTAAGATGTAATGACGTTTATGAGTACGTAAATGCCACAAATAAGTCCGCATCAACACAGTTTGCGATTCACTCCTCACTGTAGCTGCAAACACAGAAGCCCCCAAGTGTTGAATGTGGCAAGATGGTGTTACGTCCTTTGCTTTGATCTTCTGTGGAGTGAGCTGGAGCTAACCTACATGGGCCGGTTCTAGGCAACTTTCCACGCAAAAGGGAAGTGGAGACACCACCCCCTACATCCATCTGTGGTGGCAGAGACCAGCAGTGGGGAAAGGATTCCAGAGCCCAGTGCAGACTTCACAAGCTCAGCTGCCTCAGTTCTGCCACGCAAGGGTGAAACTGGCAGCAGCGTGCGGGCCCAGAAGGGAGCTGCAGCTTGGCAGCGGAGCATGGCACCCTTGTGGTCTAGATATGCCATTTGCTGGCCTATTTTCTATGCAAGAGTTTTAGTTCCTCTCCACAGGGGCACAAGTATTCGGCAGCGGAGCATGGCACCCCTAGAAATGCCATTCGCTGGCCTATTTTCTGTGCAAGAGTATTAGTTCCTCTCCACAGGGGCACAAGTATTTAGTGCAGTAAGACTCTTCTGCTGTGCAAAGGGAGGTGATATAGCACTGCCACAGGAGGTGGCGGCAGCTACTAGCATGGACAGCTTCAAGAGGGAATTAGATAAGCATATGGAGCAGAAGTCCATCAGTGGCTATTAGCCACAAGGTATAGATAGGAACTCTCAGGCTGGGGCAAGTGATGCTCTGTATTCTTGGTGCTTGGGGGGGGGGGCAACAGTGGGAGGGCTTCTAGTGTCCTGGCCCCACTGGTGGACCTCCTGATGGCAGCTGGTATTTCTGGCCACTGTGTGACAGAGTGTTGGACTAGATGGGCCATTGGCCTGAACCAACATTGGCTTCTCTTATGTTCTTACATGCTCTTAAAGAGTGCATGGTTGATGAAGATTTGTGTGAATTGAGAGGAGAGCGCAGGAAGTCTAGAGTGGCTTCACAAGACTAGAGTCTCTTTCACACATCCTGAATAACACAGTTTCGGTCCACTCCAGCAACCATTTGCAAGTGGATTTTGCCATTTCACACAGTGAAATCAAGCTGCAAAGTGCATTGAAAGTGGATTGAAAGTGCATTATGTAGTGTGTGTGAAAGCGCCCTTGGTTGACTATGTTTGTCCTTGTTATTTTGAAGCAGAAAACAGAAAATGTGCCTCCAGGGTTGTGAAGTGTGCAGACGGTTCATGTTGGCTTTTAAGTAACCATAATAGAACGCTGTCTCTTTAATTGCAGCCCCTAAAATATGGGAATCGGTGTCCTGTAATGACGGAGAGCATGCATACCTCTCCTTGGCCACAGTCCCATTGGGTGGCGTTCGCTAAGCTGTTACTCGCTTGTTGTCAACGCCCTCCCCCCATCTTTGATATGGGAGTACTAACCCTGATCTGTCTTACAGCTGGGCTGCTAGAAGGAATTAAAGGGCTGTTGAAGCATGAGTTTTTTTACAAGCCAAATATTAGAATTATTGTCAAACATTTCACTAGGGGTGTGTGCAGTCATACTGCTGCCCTGATAAAATGCCTGGTATTTGCAGATCAGCAATGGCCGATTTTTGCACCACACCCTCCTGATGATCCCTGATTCCAATGATTCTACTCCTGATAATACCAGAATTGGGAATCGTGTTGGAGAGACCGCAGGAGCAGCGAGGGAGGAGGGGGCATGCCCTGTGGTGCACTGGCCCTTTACATTTTAAGGGGCCACTGTTGTCTGTGGGTGGAAGAGGCCCAGTCTCCCGCCCATTGGAAATAATGGTGCTTGGAAGCAATGCTCCCTCTAAGCTGTGGAGTCTTGTGAGCAAAAATTCTACTTTGCGAGCTCCTCGCCTTAAAGCTGTGAGCGAGCGGTTTGGCTGCTGCATAAATTAGTCTGCTCTGCAGCCCTCCTTCCTGAGCAAAGACAGAAATGTGTGAGCTGGAGGCTAAAAAACTGAGTTTAAAGGACCAGTGCACCCTGGACGAGTGAGTGCGTCCCTGCTCCTGCTAACTGAATCTGGGAGTGGGGGGAGTCCAGGTGGTGGGGACTTCCAAATTATCATTTTAGTTTCCTTTGGTAAATTAAAAAAGTGTATGAATGCTGTTTTCACTAAATTAGGAGTACTGTTCCAATATTTATTAAAGTGGAAAATTTTCCCAATGTGACTTTCCAGAATGAGAACAGCATGCCCGTCCCAATTTTTTGAATTGCACATTCCCTAGGGGGCATTATTTCTTCAGCTTTTATTTCCTCCTGACCTCTCAGCATGAGATGGGGTAACATATTTCTTGTTTCTTTTTCTTTTTTTTAAAACTAATAGGAACTGGAAGAATTTCCTCTGGAATCAGGTACTGTTGCTTAGAAACATGCTGGGCCCCTTCCTTTTACCTCCCCGCATATTTTTCACTCACAAAATCCCTTTAGTTGCTTAAAATATTTGGTTTTATTCCATTAATAACTATGGTGTATTCTAAATGGTGCACGATCCAGCTCTCTCGCACACGCACCCCCCAAAAGCCACAGAGATTGGAAATCTGGTCATATCAGCAGATCTGCTATAGCATGCTCATTCTTGCATGAGGCAAATCTTTGGAGAGAAATGAGCAATTTGCTTGCTTCCTTGGAATTGGCGGACGAGCTGCCCTTGACAGGAGCAGTTCTGCATACAGAGCAGGTCTTGTGATATGACCTAGTACCTTGATTCTGTAAATCTTAGACTAGAGAAGGACAGTTTAGTCTAAAGCAGAGAGTAGGGAATGAAAACAGGACGTCGAAGACAGAAGACAGGTTCATCGCAAAAACTGTGCTTTCTGAACTGCAAACGTATTGTCATTCCATCTGAAGCTGGTCTGGTTTTCATGTTTGGACTGATTCATCTGAAAGGAGTTCAGTAAACCTGGAAGCTGTACTGTCAAAAGGACTATGTAAACATCCTGGACTTTGAAGCTAGACTGCAGAAGAAGGACAAAGTTGAGATGACTACATGAAGACAGTGAAATAAAAACAAGCCGGGAACATCGTGCATAAAAGGTGTTTTTAAGCCATTTTCTTCTTTCTTTCAGACAGTGCTCTGCTAGGTATGTTAGACTGCAGTGAGCTTAGGCGTTTGAATGTGATGTACGCAAGGGTTTTCCAATCTCTGTGTGGCATTAGACTGGCAGCCATGCCCGTTCCGCACTTGTCTTTGCTGTGTTTCCCTGGTGATTAAACCTTGTGCCATTCTATTCCTGTTAAATCCATAGAAAATGAGAAAATGCTCGACATTTTGGGTGACACTTGTAAATCTGAGCCCTTTAAAGAAGACACTTCCGAAGCGGAGCAGGCACAGGAAGCGAAAAGCCCGTTGGCGGGCAAAAAGGCAGCGGAGGAAGAGGAAGACGCGATTGCCACCGCCGCCCCTCTGTCGGAAGAAGACCTTTTAGATACGAAGAGCCCCTCCGCCCCGGCTGCGGGCGGGAAGGAGGAGGAGGAGGAGGAGGCAAAGCACTTAGTGGTAGCGGCAGGGGAGCCGAGCGAGCAGACAGGCGAGGAAGCCCAGCCGGACTCGGACTCTGTAGCGGTAGAGAGCAGGAGTGGTGGTGGAGGAGGAGGAGGAGATGTTGATGATGAGGGTAGCAAAACAGCAGCCCAGAGTCTGGAAGCCAGTAGTGAGGCCAGTGCGGCCAGCCAAGAGGCCGCGAAGACGGAAGAGAAAGCTCAGTGTGAGGAAGACTCCTCCTCTGCCACTAGAGAGGCCTCTGCCCCAGAGGGTGGTGATCAGAACACGAGGTTTGTTTTTTCTGCGTTTTAGACCAGATGCTGTCTTTTTTCCTCTCCCCTCCCCATTGGTCGTTTTATGAATGCAAAATGCGAATGTCTCAACCAACCCCCGGCCAGGGCCATAACAAAATGTATAGTTTTATTCTAAATAGAATCTTTAGTTGTTTCTGCACACTTCTTTTTTTTTCTTTTTTTCTTTTCTGGTGTGGGTTTTGCTTTTTGGTAGAAGATGGCTTGATTTCTTTTTCTTAAACGCTTGTTTTAATTCTCTGTTGTCTAAGGTCACATACTTTAATGTGAGCTGTTAGCTCAATTTGGTCACCTTTGACTTCGCTGATTTTTTTTTTTTAATTCTAAGGAAAGCTCTCCCCCGCCTTTTGAAAGGCGTAATTCTTATTTTGCAGTTCATTTTCTTTTCTGGTAGGTATCTGATCAAAGCCCACAGGGCCTTGCTTGCCCTTTTTAATGTGGCCTCTTTTCATATTTGAGTAACATTCAGGTTTTTTGTCTTTAGTTCGAATGTGGATCCAGAGGCTAAAGGCACTTCGAAGGATGAGAAGGGTAAGCCACGAGGAAGCCCTTTTTGTTCTGTTATACCAATTTTAGCTAATCTTTCTTCCCCTTTCTTTCTGAACTTCAAGAACTCAGCTCTTGTGATCAGGGAGGCCTTGTGGTCCTTCCAAAGTCAGAGTTTTCATCCCAGAGTTTCAGAGATGCCAGAATTTGGACTTGGGACCTTCAGGGTGCAAAGCTCATTCTGTGCCACTGAACTCTGACCCTTCAGTGGAGGTCAGGCCTGTTACCGTATCAGAACATTTTAGCAGAATATTCTTTATAATAAACTTGTCAGTTGTTCCAAATGCTTTTCAATATGCACCACGGCTGGAAGCACTTCAGTGCACAGCGTAGGACTGAAAATGATCTCCCTAGCGCGTACATCCTCAAATGTCAGCCTGTGGCTGCATTGTAAAATGTTTTTGCCACTGCTAACTGCCGTTGTTCCAAGACCAGCGTGAAAGCCCTTCCTTGATGGAAACTGAGTGTGGCCCTTACCAAAGAGAACTTCCAAAGTTGCTGTCTTTTCTGATACAGAACCTCTTTCTCTTCCCCAGCCCGTACTAGTAGTAGTTCTGGCAGAAATCTGTGGGTGAGCGGGCTTTCCTCTTCGACCAGAGCTACGGATCTGAAGAACCTGTTCAGCAAATACGGAAAGGTATGAATTTCAGACATAAATGGAGCAGTTGGTTAAAGTCACGCAGTCTGTTGGTCTGCACTTACACGACCACTTCATAACTCCCACGCTGTGTCAGAATTCCAAAGGTGCCCGCAGACTCAAAAAGTTTGAGGACCCCCAGGCTAGAAACCCTCTCAAAGTATTAAAGTAACACAAAGTCTATGAGTCCAGTGGCACCTGTAAGACCAACAAGAATTTATTCTGGGTAGTGTCAGACTCCTGGTCAGGTTACTCTCAACAACGCTCTCTTTGGCAGTGGTATGTTTGTTGAGATATATGCAGGATCCAGATCAGAACAGTACTGTGTTAGAACTGGTGATTTTGGTGCGTACCTGACCAGGTATAGGTAATTCAAACATAGCCCTTTTTCCCGTTCCCCAATCACACGTCACACTTCCCGCCTAGCCATTGCCATCCGAACCTAATTGAGAGATAGATGGTTCCGTTATCTACTAGCTCAAGCTGGCACCGAACGTCTCAAGTCTCAAGGACATTCCTCTGGGAGAGAGGAAGGTATATCTTCATGAAATGTTACAGCTTCTACAAGCGAAAGATTCCCACTCACACATCAGTCACTCCCGTCCCCTCGGGAATGTCCCTCCCCCCAGCAAGTATGGCAAACTGAGCAAAGCAAAGCGTAGCAAGGATTGGCAGGTAGACGCTTTCGCGTGCAGTCCTAAACCCGTCGACAAAATTGACAGTGTCTCAGCTGCGTTGGCTCAAGTGGTTAAGACGCTGAACTGCAGGCTGGAAGGTTGGTAGTTCAGCAGTTCGAGACCCGAGTGCCGCATGACGGAGTGAGCTCCTGTCTCTGGTTCCAGCTCCTGCCAACCGAGCAGCTCGAAAGCAAGAAATTGCAAGTAGATAAATAGGTACCGCTTCGGTGGGAAGGTAGCCGCGTTCCATGCGCCTTGGCGTTTAGTCATGCTGGCCACATGACCGCAGAAATGTCTTCGGACAGCGCTGGCTCTATGGCTTGGAAAAGGAGAGGAGCACTGCAACCCTAGAGTCAGATTCGACTGGCTTTCGAGCAAGGGAAACCTTTACCTTTTACAGCAGCATAAAACAACATAAAAGAGAAAGTCACAATGGAAAGTAAAACAGGCAGGATACAGGACGTGAAACTCAGAGTAAATAACTTCAGTAGAAAACAAAGGTGAGAGAACAGTTCAGTTCAAAGTCAGGGCAAACAAATGTTTTTGCGTGGCACCTGAATGCAAGCAGGGTAGACACCTGGTAGGCCTTAAGGGGGAGAGGGCATTCCAGAGAAGCATGACCTTCTCCTCGTCCATCTTGTGTACGTGCTTCATTATTTGACAGCCAGCGTGGCGTAGTGGTTAAGAGAGTCAGGCTAGGATCTGGGAGACTGAAGTTTGAATCCCGACTCTGCCGTGGAAGCTCAGCGGGTGACCTGGAGCCGGTCATGCGCTCTTGTCCCAATGTACTTTGGAGGGTTGTTAGGAGAGGAGGAAGAGAGACACTGCCCCAAGTTCCTTGGAAAGTAGGAAAACCAACATACAACAAGTACCGTGCACAGATGACTATAGGTAAAGGTAAAGGTTCCCTTGCTCGAAAGCCAGTCGAATCCGACTCTAGGGTTGTGGTGCTCATCTCCGTTTCAAAGCCGAAGAGCCAGCGCTGTCTGAAGACGTTTCCGTGGTCATGTGGCCGGCATGACTAAACACCAAGGCGCACAGAACGCTGTTACCTTCCCACCGAAGTGGTACCTATTTATCTACTTGCAATTTCTTGCTTTCGAACTGCTAGGTTGGCAGGAGCTGGAACTAGAGACAGGAGCTCACCCTGTCTTGCGGCACCCAGGTCTTGAACTGCTGAACTACTGACCTTCCACAGCCTGCAGTTCAGCGTCTTAACCACTTGAGCCACCGCAGCTCCACAGATGACTATAACATATCATAAATAATTTTATCTTTTTTGAAAAATATTTTTACAATAATTTCTACATATATAATAAATCATCTTAATCAAAAATATCAAAAATCGTCTCCAAGAATTTCAAAAGCTATTGTACAACCTTTAATAATAGTCCTCCTCTGTTAAATAAAAGTTTCAAAGGGGAGGACTCCTTAAAGTCTCTTTATAACATGTGCTCGAGTCTTCCTCCAACAGAGGTCCTTCTGTTTCCGAATCTTCCTCAGGGAGTTCAACAATAATTTTCAGCACAAGGTTGCCACATACTAACATACAAGGTAGCAAGAACAGAATAGGTTACAATGCTAGTAATCTCATATTAGACAAGAGTCTCAAAGAAGTGAAAAGTTCTTACCCAAAGTTTTAATCCAAAGTTCTCTTCAATGAACGCTGCAAAAAAATTTTTTTATGAGCTACAAGCCTCCTCCAAAGTGAAAAGCACGTTCAGTCACTCTTTAGCCTTGCAAAGTTTTATAAAGCACAAAAGGCGTGGCTAATTAAAGGGACACAGTCCTCTACCAAAAGTCATGCTTGAGAATTAGAAATAAGTTTTTGAGGCTCTGTCCTTACATTAAAGGAGTATACATGCAGTAATTCACAGAAAACATGATAAGTCATTATATTGATTTAAACCATTAGGTTCCAGGGTATTAAATAAAGAAATATAACGTGCCTCCTGTTGATGTAAAAGGGAACATAATCACGCCTTAAACATCAAGTGGCAGATGCCCCTTTAACTAATCATTTCTCCTCCATGAAACATGCTCCAGAAGACTTTTCTTTGTACTTAAAGAAATTATAAATCATTCTTATAATAGGGTGGATATTAATAAACTTTTACATCAACAGGCATTCAAGGTATTCTATATGGTTTTCCCCTCTACCATGTTATCCTCGCAACAGTCCTGCGAGGTAGATCCAAGAAACTAACCCAAACTCACCAAACATGCTCAAGGCTGCATAGAGATGTACTGTTCTGTACTGATGGTATCGCCTTCCAGACATGAAGCGTGTTCAGGTGGTTTTGCGTTGTGCAGCCCTTACGCCTGTAGTTTCTTTGGACTTCAAGCTGCGACTTACTGAGCAAGAAAATCAGCACCTTTTTAGTAAAGGACTAAGTAAAGTTTCTGATTATATTGTAACTCACAGGATGTGTCCCTTAAACATATGTTTTGCATTCAGTTATTTGGTCTTTTGGGGAGGAAGTAATTATTCATATCAGTTTTGTATTAGAATATTCATTGAACTTTGAGGATGCTTTTAAATTGTTTGCCTATTTTCTGGAGACTAACTGATGGTCAATGAAGATGGACCCTCCATGCACTTGAAGTTGCTGAAACTTCCAGTATTACAACACTAGATAGATAAATGCTCACCTCTCATAACTCAGTGGATTGTGAGAACCTTACAATCTTATCAACATATGAACCTGTCACATATAAATGATAACTGCACATGGAAATATTTTTAGAGATTTGGAAACCTTTTATTGAGGCTTTATCTGTCGACTTCCCAGCGTTGTTGTATTTTGTTACAATGTTTCTTTCTTTCTGTTTAGTGGTTTGATTTATAATTGCTTTTTAAAAAATTAGGAATGAAGTATGTCAGTGCAGTGGCTCATGGAGAGACGCGGGGGTGGTTTGTTTGGAGAGTGGGTGATTATCACTCCTGCGCACTCTAAGTGTGAACCTTTCTGGAACGACTCTTGCCTCCCGCCTTGCTTCCCAAAATGCTTGAGTCTCTGCAGTCCGCACCGTTGGTCGCTGAAGGAAGCTGCATGAATGATGTTTATTTACGGTCAAAGACCATTTGTCAAAATAATACATATTTGTTAAATACAAACAGATTAGCTTTCAGTCCAAATATAACCTTAAAACTATTAAAATGTTAAAAAAATAAAAAGTTTAATAGTCCATTATATCAGAATAACTATGAAAATGTCTAAAACTAAACTAACTATAAGTCATGCAAAAGGTGATTGAGGGTTTTTATTGTGGAATTTTACCAGCTGCAAGCAGAATTTAGCTATTTGTCTGGAGTTTTGCTGATTTTCCTCTGTCAGAAGTTGTTGCGCTGCCCCTTGGTCTTCGGGGTAGCGCCCCCGGTGGCCGTCTTGCTGTCGTCGGAGTCGCCCCTCGGGGGGGGGGGGGGAGTGGACGGAGGGTCGGGGGGGGGGGCTGGTCCCAAAAGGGGGGGGGGGAGGGGCCTCAGAAGTGGTCGGGTCTAAAAGGGGGGGAGTGAGGGGCCTCAGAAAGGCAGGGGACGGGGTTCAGCTCACCCCTCAGGTCCCTCTGCCAGCACGCTGCAACGGCTCTCGCCTCTCCTCTCTCCTTCTCTTGCTCGTCCTCTCTCTCTGCTTTCGCCCAGTTGTCCCAGCGTGTTCCTTCCTCCCCGGCCCCTTCTCCGCCCCGCCTTTTATTCCCTTCTCCCCGCTCCCGAGACAGCCCCTCCATTCCCTTGATGTGGCCCCGCCCCCTTTAATTAGGGAAACGCTGGATGGGCGTTTCCCTGCTGGGCTCTGGAACGCTGGCGGCGGCCTCAGCGGCCCTTGTGCTGCGCTGCCGGCACTGTCTGTCCCTCCCGCGAGTATCGCGGGTCCCCCACTTGTAATACATATTTGTTAAATAGAAACAGATTAGCTTTCAGTCCAAAAATATATATTTAGACATATAACCTTAAAACTATTAAAATGTTAAAAAATAAAAAGTTTAACAGTCCATTATATCAGAATAACTATGAAGATGTCTAAAACTAAACATTATAAGTCATGCAAAAGGTGATTGAGGGTTTTTATTGTGGAATTTTACCAGCTGAAAGCAGAATTTAGCTCTTTGTCTGGAGTTTTGCTGATTTTCCTCTGTCAGAAGTCTCTCTAGATCAGCACTATCTGCATCAGGTGCTGGCCTATCTAAGAGGGGGGAGATAAACTTATCCCTATAAACTTGATGAAAGGGGCAGCAGAAGAAGGAAGCTTGACTTCGCCACTGGTCGATTTGCTCCCCTTGGCAGCTGAGATTCTTGTAGCCATTCCTCCGCCACCGCTGTCCAACTTCATGTCTGTCTCCCTCCATTGACAGGTGGTGGGTGCGAAAGTGGTGACCAATGCCCGCAGCCCTGGGGCTCGCTGTTACGGCTTTGTCACGATGTCTTCATCCGAGGAAGCAACCAAGTGCATCAGCCACCTCCACAGAACGGAGCTGCATGGGAAAATGATCTCTGTGGAAAAAGTAAGCCCCCTCCCCCAGTCCTGCTGACCTCTTGATGATATGATAGAGACCTGTGAAGACACAACTAATCAAAGCCTAAGGGGTCATGGCTCCAGATGGCACCCCTGTTTTGCATGCAGAAGATCTCGGGCTCATTCTTGGGCATTTCCAGTGAAAGCATCTTGGCTAGAAAGTGCAGGGGATTGCTTTTCTCTCCTTGGGGCCTGGGGAGTGCTGCCAGACCAGACTAGGTCAGAGGGACCAGTTGGGGGGGGCCGTGGCTCAGAGGTGGAGCGTCTGCTTGGCATGCAGAAGGTCATCTTGGGTGCAGGCCCTGGTGTCTCTAGCGAAAAGGATCAGGACGTAGTGGATGGTGAAAGACCACTGCCCTTGGAGAGCTGCTGCCAGTCAGAGTACATGATACCAAGCTAGATGGATCAATGGTCTGAGTCAGGACAGAGCAGCATAATGTGATATATGGTAGTGAGGGGTGTGTGTAGATAAGTGGTAGAACATTTCCAGGATAGTACCACTCTGAGGTATAAACTTGAAGGCAGCCCCCTGTGGATGTAACGCCTGCCCCCAGAAAGCAGGCCTGTCAGGAAGTGGGATTGGCCTGGTCTTTCTGTGTCATGCTGTTTTTCCTTGGTGCCAAGAGTTTCTTTGGGGGGGGGAGGGCGGGCAGGCATGTTCAAAGCATCAGCTACATAGGAACATAAAGAACATAAGAAGAGCCCTGCTGGATCAGACCAATAGTCCATCTAGTCCAGCATCATGTCTCACACAGTGGCCAACCAGTTCCTCTGGAAGGCCAATAACAGGGCATAGAGGTCGAGGCCTTCATAAGAACATCAGAAGACCCCTGCTGGATCAGACCAGTGGTCCATCTAGTCCAGCATCCTGTCTCACAACCAGTTCCCACGGAGGGCCAACAAAATGGCATAGAGGCTGAGGCCTTCCCCAATGTTGCCTCCTGGCTCTGAGAATCAGAGTTTGGATGCCTCTGAATGTGGAGTTCCTGCTCAGCCACCATGGCTGGTAGCCATCGAGAGACTTATCCTCCACAGAGCTACCTAATCCCCTTTTCAAGCCGTTTATTCCTGTGGCCGTTGCTACATCCTTTGGCTTCCAGCAACGCCAAGTGGTACAATCCAGGGAGAGGCCCCTCCCGGTGGCTAATTATATGAACTGTCTCTGAGCATCGTCTCTGGTGTAATTCCAGGCCAAAAATGAACCCGCTGGGAAAAAAACATCCGTGGACAAGAAAGAAAATGAAGTGAAGAAAGAAAAGGAGAGACACCATTCTGTTGACACCAAATCGGAAAAGTAAAGTGGTTGCTTACTAATATCTTGCAGGGCTCTTTTTGTAGCAAGTACTCCTTTGCATATTAAGCGACACACCCCTAATGTAGCCAATCCTCCAAGAGCTTACAGTAGCCCCTGTAAGAAGAGCTCTGTAAGCTCTTGGAGGATTGGCTGCATTAGGGGTGTGTGGCCTAATATGCAAAGGAGTTCCTGCTACAAAAAGAGCCCTGAATTTGTATGTTGTGTGTTTTGAAACAATGAGGGACTGCTGAGAGCCAGTTTGGCGCAGTGGGTCGAGTATCAGTCTGGGATGTGGGAGGGCCAGGTTCAAATCCCCGCTTTGCCATGGAAACGTGCTTGGGTGACCTTGGGCCAGTCGCGCACCCTCAGCCTAACCGACCTCACAGGGTAGGCGCGAGGATAATGTGGAGGAGATGAGAATGATGTAAGCCAGTTTGGGTCCCCACTGGGGATGAAAGCATGGCATACATGAAATAAAACATTTCAAGGGTGAGAGCAAACAGCTGAAAGCAGGACAGCTGCTGGGTCCAGCAGCAGCCAGGACTTCTAAGGTCCTGGAGGCATGGAGGGAGGGGCCATGGCTCAGAGTCAGGACATCTGTTCTACATGCAGAAGGTCCCCGGTTCAATCCCTGGCATTGCCAGTCGAAGAAGAAGAGCCAGGCGGTAGGTGATGTGAAAGACCTCTGCCTGGGACCTTGGGGGAGCCACTGCCAGTTTGAGTACACAGTACTGATCTCAATGGACCGATAGTCTGATGCAATATAAGGCAGTTTCATGTTGTCTGAGGAACACTTGTGTGCATTGCTTCCTCCTTCCTATCAGTGGAGACAAAGCTGTGCAGCTAGAGGGTGGCAGCTTTCTTGCCCATGGCCTGGCCTTTGAGTCTGTCCAACTTCCAAGCCGAAGAGAAAGAGAAAGGCCATGCACCTGGGCTTTGTACAAAGAGATGCCTTGGTTTACCCCCTTCCCTTGATCACATCAGCTTTGTAATGTAGAAGCAGCTGGCTAAGGTGGGAAACAACCAAAACAGGCTTCTTTTTGTGTAGAACGCTCATGTTATAGGGGTGTACAAAACAAAACAGTATTTTGAACTTAAAAAAAAAAAAGGTATTTCCTGATAGTCTCAAATCCCAATACTTAATACGGTATCTGGATTTGGTAATTATTAAGGCTTCCCGAATTTTTTTGGCTCCATTATACCCTATCAGGAAATATGGTATCTGGATTTGGTAATTATTCAGGATTCCCGATTTTTTTTTGGCTCCATTATACCCTATCGGGACTGTTATAGTCAGTGGTTTCCATAGAGTATAATGGACAATTGATCTGGGGGTATCTAGGGTTCTGGGGGGGGGGATGTTTTTTGAGGTAGAGGCACCAAATTTGCAGCCCAGCTGCTGGTGCCTCTCCTCAAAAAACGTCCCAAGTTTCACAAAGATCAGACTGAGAGTACTCCAATTCTGTGGGACCCCAAAGAAGGTGCTCCCATCCTCCATTGAAACCAGTAGAGGAATGAAAACGGTATTTATTTATTAGATTTTTATCCCGCCCTCCCGGCAAGGCCGGCTCAGGGTGGCTTACAGCAATATAAAATGGTACAATAAATAATAAAACCAGACAAACACAAATGTAAAACCGTAATTATATAACTTAATAAAGTGCTACCATTAATTCCTCAGGCACAGTCAGTACCATAATTTACTACAGATGTCCCAGGCACTCGGATCAGGCTACATTTAGATCGCACTATATTTGGGGGGACCCAGGGGGTTGGGCTTGCTCCCCCAAACTGTCAGATGTCGGTGGTGGTGGCGGTTCCAAAAGCCTGGCGGAAGAGCTCCGTTTTACAGGCCCTGCGGAACTGTAACAGGTCCTGCAGGGCCCTGATCTCCTCTGGGAGCTCATTGCACCAGAAGGGAGCTGCCACCAAGAAGGACCTAGCCCTCGTTGGCGCAAGCCTGGCCTCCTTGGTGGTCGGGAGGACCATCCGGTTCTGGGTTCCTGATAGCAGGGCTCTATAGGGAACAAATGGGGAAAGGCGGTCCCTCAGGTATGCAGGTCCCTGGCCATAAAGGGCTTTAAAGGTAATGACCAGCACCTTGAACCGAATCCGGTATGCTATAGGCAGCCGGGCTGGAAGTGTTCCCGCAGAGGATGACACAACAACAGCCTTGCTGCTGTGTTCTGCACTAGCTGCAGCTTTCGGATTTGGGCCAGGGGCAGCTGCATGTAATGGGCATCACAGTAATCCAATCTCGAGGTGACCATAGCATGGATCACTGTTGCCAAGTCGTTGCGTTTGAGGATGGGAACCAGCTGCCTAATCAGCCTAAGATGGTAAAAGGCCAACCTGGCAGTGGCTGCTATCTGGGCCTCCATTGTTAGGGAGTTGTCTAGGAGCACTCCCAGACTCCTCACCTCCGGTGCTGGCACCAACGGCGCCCCATCGAAGGCCGGGAGTGGGATCCCTACCCCCAGACCACCCTGACTCAGGCACAGGACCTCCGCCTTCATTGGATTCAATTTCAGCCGGCTCAGCCTAAGCCAACCAGCCACGGCTTGCGATGCCAGGTCGAGATCTACCGGTTTGGAGTCGGACTGGCCTCCCAACAACTGATAGAGCTGAGTGTCATCTGCATACTGTTGACAATCCAGCCCATACCTCTGGGCAAGAGGGTGCATATAGATGTTAAAGAGCATTGGGGACAACACTGCTCCTTGGGGCACACCACATTCAAGTGGGTGCCTTCGGGACAGTTGATCCCCCAGCGCCACTCTTTGTCCCCGACCTTGGAGAAAGGAAACAAGCCACTGCAAGGCCAGTCCCTGAATTCCAATGTCGGCGAGGCGGCGGGTCAGTAGCTGATGGTCGACCGTGTCGAACGCAGCCGACAGGTTTAACAACAGCAACACTGCCGAACCGCCTCGATCCAGGTGTCTCCAGAGGTCAGAAGCGTCATCCAGGAAGCCCCACACGAGTGTTGTGACTCCGAAGGTGTTTAAAGGTACCGCAATCCTTTTAAACACCTTCTCCAAGCTCTTTAACTTTGGCTATCCAGCAGTCCAAAAAAATCCCGAATATTTTTGGAATTTTCGGGTACTGGCCATTTTGGATTGCCAAAAAATTGCCAGATCTTCATCCAGCTGAAAGAGTATCTAGAAAATACCAATAAGGTATTTTTCAGATAGCTCGGATTTAGCTGAACACCCCCCTCCCTTGTCTCAGTTGTAGATCAAGATGGGTAGCCATGTTAGTCTGTCTGTAGCAGCAGAAAAGAGCAAGAGTCCAGGAGCACCTTAAAGACTTAACAAAATTTGTGGCAGGTTTATGAGCTTTTGTGACTCACATGACATTGGGGTACCCCCACAGTCCATTGGCCGAGGTGATAGGAAATAAAAGGGATTTTAAATATATCCAATTGACAAATAACCCTTTTGGTAGTGTAAATTTAGCACTGGAATAAAATGAACCTGGGTTCTGGACTAGTAACGCACTCCAATTGACTCGCAAAAGCTCCTACCCTGCCACAATTTTGTTATTCCTGAAGGTGTTCCTGGACTCTTGCTGTTTGTCTTTGTTGATGATTGCAAAGCACATTCTGATCAGTATCGTCTTAAGTTTGTGTGCACCTGTTCTAAGATGTGCTAAGCTCGTTTTGTTTGCAGGCCCCCTGGGGTTAAAAAAGAAGAGAAGGCAGACAAAAAGGATGATGCGACTAAGTTGGAAGAGAAAGATGGCGGAGAGGGAAAAGAAACGCGTGAGAACAAAGCAGGCTCTGTGGACCGTGCACGATCTGTAAAATCAGGTGATTGAACTCCTGTCCTGGTGTAACTAAGATGCTGCTTCAGGCTGGCGTGTCTCTGTTGGAGAGGATTCCTAAATAATCTTACAGCACCCTTGAAAAAGTTTCTGTGATTTTCCCCTCCATTCTGGAGAATTCCCCGTAGCCAATTTGGTAATTTGCACAAAGGCAGGGTGTCAGTGCTGGCTCTTTAACTGACGCTTTTGAGATCACCTATTACAACAGATGGATAAAGCTTGTTAGTCTGCCATGAAATAAACAACCCGGTAAGCCCACTCATACAACAGGCTGCCGGCATCCTCTCTGCATGATGTACTACCTCTGGCTTTCCTGCTTTCTAATCCAACATCTTTTAGGGTGGATAGTCCTTTTACAGGTACGATTGCTTTGTTCAGTTGCTCCTGATATCAGAGATGAAGGAGAATGGCCTTCCCTTGGAGGGTGATCAAGCTGGGAAGCTGCGTTAGTCTGTCTGTAGCAGTAGAAAAGAGCAGGAGTTCAGGGCACCTTAAAGACTAAAATAATTTGTGGCAGGGGATGAGCTCTCCTGAGTCACCGCTCACTTCTTCAGCTAGATCAAGATGGGTGGCCCCGTTAGTCTGTCTATAACCGTAGAAAAGAGCAAGAGTCCATGAGTACCTTAAAGGCTAACAACATTTGTGGCAGTTCGAGACCCGAGTGCCACATGACGGAGTGAGCTCCCGTCTCTGTTCCCAGCTCCTGCCAGCCTAGCAGTTCGAAAACAAGAAATTGCAAGTAGATAAATAGGTACCACTTCGGTGGGACGGTAACAGCGTTCCGTGCGCCTTGGCGTCTAGGCTCGCCGGCTACATGACCACGGAAACGTCTTCGGACAGCGCTGGCTCTTCGGCTTGGAGACTGAGATGGGCACTGCATCCCTAGAGTTGGATTCGACTGGCTTTCAAGCAAGGGGAAACCTTTACCTATGAACTTTTGTGAGTCACTGCTCACTTCTTCAGATATGGCTAGAATGTGAGTCTATCTGCCCACTGCCACAAATGTTGTTAGTTTTTAAGGTGCTACTTGACTCTTGCTCTTTTCTACCACCTTGGAGGATGGCGGGTGCTTGCCAGCACCCTGTGAAAGAAGATGCTCAGACCCATGGTTCATACAGGGTGGGCTTCTCTGAACCTCATTGGCATTTCAGTTTTTAATGTGCGGGGAGAAGTGTGTTTGTGGCCCTGTCTAGAACTCTGGGAAATGCTCTGCCTGGAAGCTTAGATCTTCTGCGTTGAAGTCTGTTTTCACTAATTTGCATCTCGGAAATTAGTCTTTGTCTTCAGTCTCTTAAGAGCAAGGGGAATGTACGTTCTCTGTTTTCCAGATTCTCTGTAACGCGTTACGTGTGATGGGTTTGTATTCCCCCCCCCCAATACTCTCATTAAGATTGATGGCTACAGATGCTGTAGCAGGCAGAAGTCAACCCAGTCTAAAATATTTAAAGGAGTTTGGTTTTGAGAACTTAATTAGGCTTGAATATTTCAAGAGACGTCTGTCTGATTCCTGCAGATGATTTGAGAATCTGAAGTACCTAATACATTTATTTTTTCCCTCCCCTTTTTTCTGTATGTGTGGTAACAGCCAGTCGAGGAGCTGAGCGGATAGTGGTTATGGATAAGTGCAAAGGAGAACCGGTTATTAGCGTGAAAACGGCAACCACATCAAAAGAGAGGGCAAGTTTTTCCGCTTATTTTGAAGGTTTGGTTTCCCTTCCGTGTGAAACAGGCTGCAGGAGGCCACGCTGCTGTTCTCGTTGCTCTTCCTCCCAAGTCACATGACCATATGCGTGTCACATATAGGGATGGTATAACGGCTTAACGGGTGGGCTACGTCCAGGCTTGTTTGAGGTGGCTGAGAAACTCCCCAGCTTGTTATATGTCAGAAGAAAAGGGAGGAGAGGTTTGGAGATAAAACTGCGTTTTTAACTCTCAGGCTTTGTGAGTGATTGAGATCTTGCCGCTTTCGGACACAGGGGGAGATAGATGGTGGACTACTGCCAGTGTGGCCATCCTTATTCCACAGGAGCCCCCTGTCAAAATGTTCCCTTGAAGTGATGCTAAATAGCCCTTCTGATTTTTTTGGCTGGAGTTCACGAATAGTGCTGGGGTAGAGGTGGATGAGTGGTAGGCGACAGCGTCGCCTGGTCCCCCTACTAGTCCCCACAACCAGAAGAGCGGCTTGGGGATCAACTTCCTTTCTGGAAAAATCGTACTTTCATTCCTTACCCCCCCTCCCCCGAACATAAGAAGAGCCCTGCTAGATCAAACCAGTGACCCATCTAGTCCAGCATCCTTTCTCAAACAGTGGCCAAGTAGTTACTCTGGAGGGCCAACAACAGGGCATAGAGGCAGAGGCCTTCATAAGAACATCAGAAGAGCCCTCCTGGATCAGACTAGTGATCCATCTAGTCCAGCATCCTGCCTCACACAGTGGCCAACCGCTTATTCTGAAGGGCCAACAACAGGACATAGAGGCTGAGGCCTTTACCTGATGTTGCCTCCCGGCACTCGTATTCAGAGGTTGACTGCCTCTGATATTGGAGGGTCCTTTTCATCACCATGGCTGGTAGCTACTGATACACCTATCTTTCACGTCTCTAATCCCCTTTTAAAGCCACCTATGCCTGTGACCATCGCTACATCCTCTGGCAACAAATTCCGCATTTTAATTGCACGCTGTGTAAAGAAGTGTTTCCGTTTGCCTATCCTGAATCTGCTGTCCGTGATGGCTTGTTTCCCTTGCTAATTTCAGAGCACAAAGAGCCAGGACCGCAAGTCAGAGAGCAAAGAGAAGCGAGATATCTTGTCTTTCGATAAGATCATAGAGCAGAGAGAACGAGAGCGACAGAGGCAGCGGGAGCGAGAGATCAGAGAGACAGAACGTCGTAGGTGGGTCACGTGTTCCTCACCCCTATCCTTCTTTTGAAATTTGTTTCTTCCAGAATGTCACACAGTTAAGTAGGCAAAAAATTTTCCCCTGGACGTCGGCAGGTTTTTCTTACGGGTTTCATCTTTAAAGAATGGCTGTTCCGCTAGCCTAATTCTGCTGGGTTCTAAAGCAGAGATGTCAAACTCATTTGTTACAAGGGCTGGATCTCACATAAATTCCATTTTGTCGAGCCGGGCCACATGTTATTATGCCAGGTACCAGAGGTAGAAACTGTATAAAGGGCAGCAGCTGGTAAGCTCTGAGTTGGTGTATGCTCACTGCAGGGCCCCCTGGGCTGGGACGGGGGTGCAGAGGAAAGCCCACGTGGGCAGACTGAAGAGGCAGCAGTGCAGTGCTGGGCAGATGCTCCCACCGATGCTTGACTGCTGCAGACGAGGTTGTTCTGCCGTGCTGAAGCCACAGTGGAGTTGCTCCGCCGACTCCCCCCTCCCCAGTACTCCTGTGGTATATTTGTTTTATATATGTATATGTGTAATGGAACAGTGCTGTCGCCCCCCCCCCCCCCCCCCCCCCCCCCCCTGTCGTTTCTTTTTTCTATTGGGTGGAGCTCTTGTTTCGGTTTCCAGTTTTGTATGCTAGCTGTAGTCACTGGTTGTGAAAGTTGTCCCCTTGCAAATAAACAGTTGATGCTTTGAGCCAGCTGGTCTCTGCTGAATGGACCTGAGAACGGGTGTCTGAGTGAGTACTCTATCCTGGGTACCCACAGCCAAAGGGGGACATTACAGCTTTCCTGCATTGTGCAGGGGGTTGGACTAGATGACCCTGGAGGTACCTTCCAACTCTATGATTCTATGAACTCCCTCCCTTGCACTAGTTGCTCATGGGCTGCATAAGAGCCCTGGATGGGCTGGTTCTGGCCCCCGGGCCTTATGTTTGACACCCCTGTTCTGAAGCGTGGTGCCAGTGGCCTAAGTGGACATATCCCCCACTAGAAAGAGATGTGCTGGTGGAGCTTGCAAAAGCAGAATGCCACATGTGCCCAGAACAGATTTGTGTAAAGAGACAGAGGAAAAGGGGCTGCTTGTTAATCCAACCTGTGCAGAAGCAGGGAGGCGCTCACCGTGAGCAGTGTGGAACAGTGTTCCCTCTAAGCTGAGCTTGTGTGAGCTAGCTCGCAGTTTTTTTAGCCTCTGGTTCACACATTTCTGTCTTAGCTCAGGAAGGACGGCTCCAGAGCAAACTAATCTATGCAGCAGCCAAATCGCTCCCTCACAACTTTAACGCCAGGAGCTCACAAAGCAGAATTTCTGCTCACAAGACTCCACAGCTTAGAAGGAGCACTGCTCCAGAGCAAACTAATCTCTGCAGTAGCCAAATTGCTCGCTCACAACTTTAACACCAGCAGCTCACAAAGTAGATTTTTTGCTCACAAGACACCACAGCTTAGAGGGAGCATTGGTGTGGAACTGTCCCTTTGTCCATCAGATCCCATTGCAGTCGCGTCCTTCCATTCGGGCCCTGCTTCGTTCCCCATCCTTGCACGAGGCACGATCCGTGACAGGGAAAAGTGGGGCCTTCACAGCAGTTGCCCCCCTCCCCCACAAATTCCTGGCTGCACCTCCTCCTCCTTGCTTGTTTGTAGGAAGGGCCATTCAGTCCCCTCTTCCTCACGACTGTGGCCGAGTGTGTTGTGTTGCTGGCTGTGTGTGCTCTCTTTGTTGCTGTGATGCCGGCAACACAACACACTCGGCCACAGTCGTGAGGAAGACGAGATTTCCTCTCTCCTCGTTTGCCTCCTTTAGGAATTATCCTATTTTATTTCAGCCTTAATGATTAAGCTATGCTGGAGATAACATAACATAAGAACATAAGAGACGCCAATGTTGGATCAGGCCAAAGGCCCATCCAGCCCAACACTCTGTATCACACAGTGGCCAGAAATACCAGTGCCATCAGGAGGTCCACCAGTGGGGCCAGGACATTAGAAGCCCTACCACTGTTGACCCCCCCCCCCCCAAGCACCAAGAAGACAGAGCATCACTGCCCCCAAAGTCCCTATCTATACCTTGTGGCTAATAGCCACTGATGGACCTCTGCTCCATATGCTTATCTAATTCCCTTTTGAAGCCTGTGGCAGTGAATTCCATGTGTTCATCACTCTTTGGGTGAAGAAGGACTTCCTTTTATCCGTTCTAACCCGACCGCTCAGCAATTTCATGGAGTGCCCACGAGTTCTTGTATTGTGAGAAAGGGAGAAAAGTACCTCTTTCTCTACCTGCTCTTTCCCATGCATAATCTTGTAAACCTCAATCATGTCACCCCTCAGTCGTTGTTTCTCCAAGCTAAATGCTGGCTCAGATTCTGCTGGCTCAGACACAAGCCTACCCAGTGCTTACTGCTACCAGATTTTACAGCCCCACGCGGGTGGCATTTTTGCTTTTCCTTTGTATGGTGCACTAAATCTGGTTGTATTTAAGCTTTTGTAAAGGTGGCATGTTAATAGAAGGACAGATGCCACTAGTGACTTTCCTTTTTAGTATCAGAAGCAAATCAGGCAGGTGTATTAGCTACCAGTTATTCGGATGACCTTCTAAGGATAACACTCCCTCCACTGATAACTGGGGACGCTCGTTTCCCTAGTCGGGGGCAACGCTCCCTCTATGACTGTGGAGTCTTGTGAGCAGAAATTCTGCTTTGTGAGCTCCTGGCATTAAAGTTCTGAGCGAGCGATCTGGCTACTGCGTAATTTAGTTTGCTCTGGAGCCATCCTTCCTGAGCTAAGACAAAAAATGTGTGAGCCAGAGGCTAAAAGACTGTGAGCTAGCTCACACTAACTCAGCTTAGGGGGAACACTGGTCGGGGGATGATGCAGAGGGGGTTGGGCCAAGGCCTCACCTCCCCCGGTGCCCTACTGACAAGCTCATTACTGGTGGACAAAGTTCTCTGAAAGTGGCCTTTGTTCCTCATAGGCTGCATTTGAGCCTGCAGCATCCCCACCGTAGCTTATTAATAGATGGTTCAGCTCCTGGAGTTAATACCAGAGGGGATATAAGCCGGGTCACGTGTTTGTGTCTGTCTGCTGCTACTCCTTATTTATTTTATTTATTTATTTTTCATATTTATAGCCTGCCCTTCCTGCAAGCGGGCTCAGGGCAGGTAGCAGCATTTCAGTTTCGTTTCCTCCATCCGAAGAACGGTGTTGCATTCCACGGGTCCATGCAAAGGCATTTTCTGTGAATGTAAGGAGTCTTCACCGATGCAAGACACTACTCTTGGGGGGGGGGGTCATGCATCGAGGGGAGGTTCCTTTGGAGAAACTCAGCCAGCAGAATGGATATGCAGAATCTCTGCGTTCTTTGCTTCCTTAGTGCTGCTACTAGTTTTTGTAAGCTTCCCACTTTGGGGTGGAAGTGTTGCTGAGATTACCAGTAGCACTGTCGTTGGGGTTTACAATGATGCCTTTTTTTTTTGTTGTTCCTTTGTGCCTTCCCGGGTTGTCATTGAAGTTTTCACTCCTGGCGTTCCTGATCCAGTTTGGTGTCGTGGTCAAGTGCGCGGACTCTAATCTGGGAGAACTGGGTTTGATTCCCCACTCCTCCACTTGCAGCTGCTGGATGACCTTGGGCAAGCCGTAGTTCTGGCACAGCTGTTCTTGAAAAAGAGCAGTTTCTGTCAAGAGCTCTCTCAGCCCCACCTGCCTCACAGGGTGTCTGTTGTGGGGAGGGGGAAGGGAAAGGGAGTCTGTAAGCCGCTCTGAGACTCCCTTGGGTAGTGAAGGGTGGGGTATAAATCCAGTCTCCTCCTCCTTCTCCTCTTCTTCTTCCTCTTCTTCCTCTTCTGCTTCTCCTCCTGAATTTTAAAACTAAAATGGCATTTGTAATGGTGTAGATCAGGGGTCCCCATCATGGTGCCCGTGAGTGCCATGGCACCCTCCGACGCCCTTCCTGGTGCCCACCAAGTGTTTTTGGAAAGTGGGTGGGGCTTTTGCCCAGCAAGGCTTCTGGTTTGCCATTGGTGATTTGGCTGACTGCAGATTTTTAAAAGTGTTGCTTCGTCAGCCACTGCCCCCCACAGCACAAGGATCTTCACTGTGTGGCTGAATGTAGGCTGCAGCTGCCATTGTGTTGCTGGCTCCCGCCTCCTGCAAGCAGCCATTTCGTGGGTGCGCCCACCGCGCTGTCAGAATTCCAAACATGCCCACAGGTCAAAAAAGGGTTGGGGACTCCCAGCATAAATTTTAATGCGGGAGATTCTGCCATGATGGTACAGCACGGGGCACGAAGAGGAGGTCTGATGGGACTGCCTTACACAAAGGAAAAGCAAAAATGCCACCAGGGTTCCTGAGTTTTGAGGGTGGGGCTGCAAAACTTGCTAGCATCCTTTCTTACAGCTCTTGTGAAGAAGCATGGATGGGCACTGAAGAAAATCTTGTCTTGTTGTGGCTTGAAAAGAGTGGTGCTTGCCAAAACCTTCAAACGAGCCTGAAGGACGTTGAGGTGATTTTAACGGATGAACATTTCTACCACCACCCCTTTATTTTTTTTTTGAAAAAATAACATCCGTCTAAGTACAGAAATGGGGGGAAATCCATAGAATTAACACTACACTGTTAGTACTGTTGGAGTGTTAATTCTAAGAGAGCAGAGAAAAACACCCTATTGTTGAAATCGTTCAGTCGCCATTCAGGATTACTGCAATGCAAATACAAGGTTGTTAAAACACAATGAATGTTCTCAGTACCATTAGCTGCATTGTTAGAAACACTGCCTTGTTAGGAGCCCGGCCAAAGGCACATCCGAATCCGTTAACTCTGGGTTGCATCCTGCCTCTCTGCTCAGCTTACAGCAGCACCTTTCTCTGGTGTGACGGACTTTCTCGTAGGGTAGAACTTAGCATTACATTTACAACTGTGAACACATTACAGATGTCAAGCAGATCACCACGATACACCCCAGGTGACCAGAAATGCCCTGATAGAACCTAGCATTAAATTTACAAC